CACAACAAAAAAACACTTCCACTGAGTCTTCAGTAGGCTACCTTGAGGAGCCAGAATATATTTTAACCAAATTTCTTTTGAGTGGTAAGGGATGGGTATAGAATTAGGGCTGTTTTTTAAATCTTGCTAGGGAAAAAAAGATTAATTGACATAAATCGGCATTTTTGTTAGGTATGTTTCCAAGAGTAAAATTCTGGATTATAGAGCTCATGTTTAGCCCTATAGGTCCATGGGTAGTGCAAATGGTTAACATACTCAATTGCTAGCTGAAAGGTTGCAGGCTTAAGTTCACATGCAGGTGCATTAGACTAAAGGTCTGGTGATCTAGGAAATCCACCATTGAAAACTCTGTGGAGCATGAGGCCACCATGAGCCAGAATTGACTCATTGTTAACTAGCATCTAATCGAGAAGGTACAGATTTTCCGTATTTGAACCAATTTACATACCCACTGGCAACTAAGAGAGTTTAAGCTGCTTCATGTCCCTATCAATACTTGGTATTACCTCCTTACATAATTTTAGCCATCCTACTAGATAATGGTGATCTTTTATTGTGGTTTTATTTGTATTCCCCCAATGACTAAAGATGTTGTCCTCCTTTCTTATGCTTTAGGCCATTTAAATACCATATTTTATAAAATACTTGCTCAGTGCCATGAATTATTGTTCATTTTCCTTATTAATTTGCAGTTCTTTTATAGGTATGTTCTAAGTAATAGTCCTTTGTCACATACACGCTTGGCATATTCACCCAGTCTGTGCCATGTCTTTGCCCTCTCTTGATGTTATCTTTTGAATTTCGTTGATCAATCTTTGCTTTCATGGTATGATTTTTATGTCTTGTTTAAAAATAATTATGTAGCCCAGGATCAGAAATATTTTCTCCAAGAAGCATTATTGTTGTACCTTCCACTGTTAGACATTTAATTCTTCTGAATTTCATTTTTTAGTGTGATGTGAGACAGTTCAGATAACCTCCTGGCCCCATGTTGATATCAACTGACCCAACATCATTTATTGAAAAGTTCAATTGTGCTACCTTGTCACTTATTAGTAACACTATCAAAGTCAATCTGTTTCTGGGCACCCTGTCTTGTTATATTGATCTGTTTTTCTACCATGTGCCAGTTTTCTTGGAGCTTAGAAATGCACACCAGCTTATGTAGAATCCTCGTTTAAACTGTTAAACTTTGATAAGGGTGTGTATGGATATCCGTAGCTTTCATATAAAACATTTGTTTTTTCAGACTCCCAGAGTGACAGGTGGGCTGGATCCTGGCCCACAGAGTTAAGGCCAAAGGACCACATGGCTGAGAAACTAAGAACTGGAGAGAGACTTGGCTGCCACATGACTAAGAGACTGAGAGTTGGAGAGAGACTTGACTAACATGTGGCCGAGAGGCTGAGAACTAACCAGAGACTTGACTGCTGGTTGAGGAGACCAATGACTGTATCCTTATTGTTTGCTCATCTTGACTTGTGGTAACTTATAGCCTTTCCCAATAAGTTCCCTCAATTGTGAATGTTGTTTGTGAGCCCTGTGTGGCCGTGAACTGTCCAACTATTGACCAGTGGCGGTAACAATGGACTCAAGCATAGGAACAATTCTGACAATGGTGCAGGACCAGGCAGTGTTTTATTCTATTGTGCATAGGATCATTGTGGATTGGAACTGACTCGATAGTACCTAACAATGACAACAACATTGACCCCAGCATAGATATAGAGTGGCATGGGAGGAACAGTTGGTATTGGAAGAGGTAAAGAAAGATGGAGGGATGTTTGACCTTGCCTTATGAAAATAGGGATGCCAGAGGAAGACACATATGGACCTTATGCCATTTATTTGACAGGCAATCAACAATCATATGAATCATTAGCTATAAGGGAAGTACAAATTAAAATAATGATGAGATACCACCTCACACCAACACTTTTAGCAAATTAAAAAAAAATTAACAGAAAAGAATAAATGCTGCAGAAATTGGAATGCTTATGCATTGCTAATGGGATTGCAGAATTGCACGGGCATTATGGAAAACAGTATGATTCTTCCTTAAACAAATTTGAAGACAAATACCTTATGATCTACAATCTCTACTTTTTTAATTTGCTAAAAGTGTTGGTGTGAGGTGGTATCTCATCATTATTTTAATGTGCACACCAATGTTTATTCAACAATTTCTATAATTGTAAGAAGATAGAAACAATCAAACACCTTATCTGTGGAGGAATGATACATAAACTCTGGTCCATACACACAATGGAATGTTATGCATCTTTAAAAACAGTGACAAGTCTGTGAAGCATCTCAGGACCTGGACCATATGGGAGGGCATTATGGTCAGTGAAGTCAGTCAATCTCATAACTATTTCATGGCATCATTATTATCAAGGAAAAGGAATGGTTTTTACACCAAAGGAAAAGACTGAAGACTCTAAAGAGGTGGCAGAGTGGGAGAGGAGGGTCAGACAGAGAGGGGAAGTTCAGGGAGGCAAGAAGGGAGGGTTGGTGGGAAAAGGAAGAAAGAATACAAAGAAGAATAAAGAACCAAACAGAAGAGGAGTTTAATGGGGTACTGTCACTGATTTGATGCTGTGGCCTATGCAACTATGTTTTCCTTCCTATGTGTGATACAAGGGGTTCTCCCCCAAAACTGGTTTTTGCACTGGGCAGAGCAGAGCTTTCATAGTATGTCTTTTCCCCACTACATGAGCATTGAGCAACTTGCTCTGAGTTAGCGCATCCAGTGGCGTTGCCAAGGAAGGTGCTCTCTGGTCATAGTGAATCTTTTTGCGAAAGCAATTTCACTCAAACCTCTTTTTTTTTTGATGGCCGATTTAAGAGAACAGCGTGCGGCTGTGAAATTTTGTTTCCTGTTCGGGAAGAATGCCACAGAAACTGTTGTGATGTTGAACATAGCTTACAAGGACAGCACTATGGGAAAAACTCAAGTGTACAAGTGGTTTTCTCATTTAAAAAAAGTGAAATATCAATTGACAACAAACCTCATTCTGATGTCCGTCAACTTCCCGAACAGACAAAAATGTTGACTTGTACTACATTTGGATACTGTTAATCAAGCTTTCTATTTAGGGGATTTGAAAAGATGGTGTAACTGTGTGCGATAAAAAAGTCCTGATATGTGACATTTGGGGGACTTGTATTGCTACCATGACAGTGCACCTGCTCACGCAGCCATCTCAGTGCACCAGTTTTTGGCAAAAAACAGCATGCTTCTCTTGTCCCAAGCACCTTACTCACCTGACTTCGCTCTGTGTGACTTCTTTTTGTTTCTGTAGATTAAGGTGGGGCATGAAAGGACAGCAATTTGATGATATAGAAGGGGTGAAGAAAAAAAATGAGGGAGGTGCTGTCAACCATCCAAACTGATGAGTTTGAATAATGTTTTCAAGAATGGACTTGCAGATTTGACAAATGTATTCAGTGTAATAGAGGGTACTCTGAAGGTGATAAGGTTGTTTTGTAAAAAAAATTAAATACACAGCTTTGAAAAAATCTAGTGTTTATTGGGTTTCAGTTTTATTTGTATTCTACAATTAAAAGTGAAAAATAATAAAAATAAAAATTTAAAATTAAAAAAGAGACAGAAGGACTACAGCTTTAAAAACCCTCCAGACAATAATAATAACTGATACAAGTTGTTACCGGAAATGTCAGGGAGGGGGTGGGTGACAGAAGAATGGAGAATTTGGGAGTAAATGCTGAAGGCAGGAGGGGGAGGGAGCCCTGAAGTGGATCGCGATTGCACAGCTCACCATGGGGGAGGGAACGCTCTAGGATGGATGTGGTGGTGATTGTACAATTTCCCCTTGATATGTTTGAACAATTGAACTATTCAATTCTGTGATATGTAAATTATGTGCCAATAAAATTGTTGAAGAATAAATAAAGTTAAAAAAAATTGAGTCTGTAGACTGTGATCTCCCCAAACTAAAAGTACAGTACTTGAAATTGTGTTCTTTATGGTTGTAGTGTTTGTAAAGCACTAATATGCACAAAACAAAGGAATTGCACAGTGCAAAAAAAGGAAAAAACAAAACCCCCCAGATTTCTTACCCATCAGAACTGATCTGAGTGATTATGTTTATAAAAGGGGAAAAGTAAAATTGAAATTGACTTAAATTCCTTTGTAATGTGAGCTAGTTTCAAGCAAACAAATAAAAACAATGTTAAATTATAGGCAACAAAACATTTGGCACTGAGGCAGTTTATTAGTTTATTGTGCCAACCTGGTTGACAAACACATGTGGGGTTAATTGAAGGGCCGAGGGATAAATGGCTCGGTAAACCTCCCCTTTTGAGTTCTCAGGTCTCTTGATTTGTGATGGCCGGACCAGGGTGCAGTTGCCTTAGCCAGTTCCCTGCTTTAGCTGGAAAGGCTCACTTCCTGCAAGACATCCCTGAGGAGAAGCCATATGGACCTACCCCGATGCAGCCCTGGGTGCTGGAGCACCCGTGTAGAGACCCCTGCCAGCGCCGAGATGTTTACACACTCACTGACTTGGCTTTCCTCCTGCAGTCAGCATCATCGTGTCTGTTTTGTGAGGTAGAGGAGGACTTTGGATTGGTGTTGGACATATAGGTTAATGGATTAATGTTGGACTTGTGGGCTTGGGCAGCACTGACTTGGGATGTTTTCTTGATGAGCACTTAACTTTTATGTAATACCCTCTCTTATACATGAGTTTCTGTGGATTTGTTTCTCTAAAGTACCCAGACTAACACAGGCACTCCACCCATTTTCACACATGCAGTTCCGTGACATTCATTACACTCACCATTGTCATTCATCCATCATCATTACTAACCAGTTCCAAAAATTTCTGTCACTCTAACAAAAGCTCTGGGTCCTGTGAAGGGTGTATTCTTGAGGGTCTGACCTGTGCTTTCTTCTTCAGGTGGTTTTATTCCTCTTTCTTTTGGAACACCTCTTCAATATGCTTCTGAAAGACTCTCTTGGGTACCTCAACATTGTAAGCATCCCTGAGTCACTAAGCATCATTAACACACTGCTCGGAAGATGCCTGGGAGGCCTCCAGGAGCTGCGCGGTGACCTCAGCTTCTGACAAGGATGTTCAGCCCTCTGTGGTGGACAGGTAGGAGCTGAGAGGTGAGGCGCAGTGTGGGTCTGGGCAGTGTGATGAATTTCATTCCACATTACTTCTCCATTTTGCAAGAGGGCACCCACAGTGGCTCAGCCTCTGCTCAGGGCCACGCTACACCTTTACAGGCAGGTGGCACCGTCTCTTCTGCTTGACCTGAGGCCCAGATCTTGGTTCAAGGCAGCAGTTCCCAACCTGTGGGTCGTGACCCCTTTGGGGTCACCCAATTCATAACAATAGCAAAATGACAGGAAGTAGCAATGAAAATACTTTTATGGTTGGGGGTCACCTCCACATGAGGAACTGTATGAAAGGGTTGCGGCCGTAGGAAGGTTGAGAACCACTGGTTCATGGTGTCTGACTCAGTACACTTTGTAGGAGCACTGCCATGAAAATAAGGAACTGTGAAGGTGGGTGGTCAGGTTCATTCATTTCCTGAAAAACTACTTCATAAACGATCTGTACTTTGAGAAGTCCCAAGTCTAGTCTCCCAACATGGGCATCGGTCCCAACCCCCTGGCCATACCTGTGCTAGTGTGGGCTTGACTGGGGGATTTACTGCTCATCCTGGGCTCCAGGCCATGTGTCACTCAGGAGGTCCAGACCTCCTCCGTCCATAACCACGTCCATCACACTCCCACAGTTTTCCTTCACTTCTCTTGGAGAAGGATATTCTCAGTCTCTACAGTCAGTCCAAGAAGGTTATTCTCAGTCTCCACTATCAGTCCATTGAAAAACTAGGACTTATGGCTGATCTGAGGACTTTCACCTTGCTTATGTGGGCTCCAGATTTGGTGGGACCAACGCACTAGTGCTTATCCAAGGGGCCAGGCTAAATTAGAGCCCAGGGTACCAGCTGGAATATTGATTCCAGGATCCTATAGCTGCTTATTAGAATCTCTATGGCCAGAGTCTGTCTTAATGAAGATTCTCTAGAGAAATACTCCATAGGACCAGCAAGAAGACATGGACATACATATATACAAGTGTGTAGCTATTTGTGTAAGACGACTAACCGAAATAGTGATGGTTTGAACCCATCCTGCAATGATAGCAAGGAAAGCCTAGTAATTTACACTTATAAAAGTTCCAGCCAAGAAAATTCTACGTAGCCATCTTTGTCTGTAGCATACAGGGTCGCAGTGAATCATAATCGACTCGACAGAAACAGTTTTGCTTATTTGTTTAAAGGTTCTTGGGAAAGGCACATTGTGGGAATGAGAACTCGTGTACTTTGTCTCACGTACTTTGGACATCTTGTTAGGAGAAGGCAGTCCTGGAGAAGGATATCATGCGTGGTGAAGTAGAGGAACAGAGAAAAAGAGGAAGGCCCTCCCTCCACTCAAGTACTCCCTCAACACAAGAATACTTTCTTCTAGTATATTGGCATTCTATGATGCTCACCTTCCCGACACAACCGCTGAAGACAA